TGTTGTTGTTATGTGCCGTAGAGTCAGACCCGACTCACAGTGACCCCTCCTTGGGTTTCTGAGGCAGTATCACTACAGAAGTAGGATTGCCCAACCTTCCTTCCGAGAAAGAAACCATATCACTTCTATAATTGATGCTTATGGGAATGTAAAATAGTACAGCCAGTCTGGAAAAGTTTGACAATTTCTTAAAAAAAAAAAAAAATGTTTAGCTTAAAAAGCTAAACATGCAAGTGTCATAAGATCCAACCATTGTATTCCTGGGTATATATCCCAGAGAAATAAAGACTTCTGTTCACACAAAAAAACCATACATGAATGTTCATGGTAGCTTTGTTTGTAATAGGCAAAAACTTGGAATAACCTAGATGTCTTTCAATGAGTGAGTGCTCAAATAAACTGTGGTGCATCCATACCATGGGATATTACTCAGCAATAAAGGGAAATGAACTATCGGTACACATAGCAACCTGAATGAATCTCCAGAGAATTATACTAAGTAAAAGAAGCCAATCCCAAAAGGTTAAATACTGTATGATTCCATTTATATAGCATGATATGCCTTACCATATATTTTATATGATAATATTACAGAAATGGAGAAAATCTTAGTGGTTGCAAGGGGTTAAGGAAAGAATAGAGGTAGCTTATAAAAGGGCTATAAAAGGGCAACACGAAAGATCCTTGTGGTGATGGAAATGTTCTGTATCTTGTTTGTATCGATGTCAATATCCTCGTGATATTGTGTTACAGCTTTTCAAGATGTGATCATTGGGGGAAAGTTAAAGGATACCTGGGATATCTGTATTATTTCTTACAACTGCATATGAATCTACAAGTATCTCAAAAAAAAAGTTTCATTAAAAATCCAATTAAAGAAGGAAAATGTTTTAAAAGATATTGTATCTTTAAAAAAGTAGAATAATAATAGGATTTTGAGATTAGTGAACTATCTGATCACCACAGCCATGGTGATCAGCAATCAACTGTAGATGAACAGCTTCTTAAAGAAAAAACCCTACTTCCAGATGAATCTGGATTCACAGTATGTGGGCTGCATTCAAAGAAATCCTCGAAGTTTACCTCTTAAATCTTAATATTAACTAGATAGATGCTGTAGGAAGCTGTTGGGCTGGTTACATCTTGTCATCAGTTTCAAAGGATTTCAACATCCTACCCTGAGCTATTTGAGAAGGTATTAAATCATCATACAAATACTGTGGCCATCTCCAGCGCTGGATTATGCAATAAGCAAGGTAAGCACAGGCTTACTTGTGCTTACTTACTAATCTGTAGTGAATAATTTCCCATTTTTTTCACATCAAAGATTCTGCATCTAGGTATGGCTGGCATCTGTGTCTCTCCCAACCCCACGGCATCTTTCCTACAGAATCAAAGACTCTTCAAATTTATGGTCCTACAGGGACAGAGCACCCAGTAAACAAGGTTAGCACATGTTTACTTACTAATCTGTAGTGAATCATCACACATGTTTTTCACCACATCAGCCTCGCTTATTGAGTAGTCTGCTTCTGGACGTTGCTCTAAACAATTCCCATAATACCAACATTATTGTTCTTCCAAATGTCTGTGATTTCATAATTTACAGAAAAAATTTTCTACATTGATTCCATCAGTAGGAATTGTTACACATTTCTCTTGGATTCTTTGTCTACTTTTTTTCTACATTTTACACATAAGTAAACTTAGAACGTAGCAAGCTTCTCAGTTCTCCTGGCAATCAATTGGACATTGATATGACTTTCAATACTGGCATTTCTAAAGCCTCCTTCTTACTCGAGGTGGTGTAAAGAGTTAACTGAAAGGTTGGAGGTTTTAGTCCACCCAGAGATTTCTTGGTGATCTACTTCTGAAAAAAATCAGCCAACAAAAACTCTATGGAGTGCAGTTCTGCTCTGATGCACGTAGGGTCTCAGTGAATCAGAACTGACTCGACTGCAACTAGCTTCTCCCACTCCTTAAATTATCAGTGTCATCAGAGTTTAGGTTTAGAGATTGACCTTCCTTCTCTCTCTTTTTTTTTTTTTTTCTCAGCATTTATTACTGTTTATTACATAGTTTATAATATTACTTTTTTTTCCTTCCTTCTCTTTTTAAACACATACTTGAGTAAAATCGTTCTGACTCATGTGCCCTTTGGGGGAATTTGAGTAGACATTTTCTAGAAGGAAAAGATGTGAGCTTTGTTATTTAGCTTGGATAGAGGCAAAGAAGAAGAAGGGTTTCCTGAAAGTGTATTTCCTTATATTTATTATGTTGTTGTTATGTGCTGTTGAGTCAGATCCGACTCATAACGACCCCTCATTGGGTTTCTGAGGCGGTATCACTACGGAAGTAGATTGCCCCATCTTCCTTCTGAGGAGTGGTTGGTGGGTTTGAACCACCAGCCTTCTGGTTAGCAGTCAAATGCCTTAGCCACTATGCTACCAGAGCTCCCTATATTTATTATACTCATATAATAAATATATATCATATTTCCTTATATTTTTCATAATGATATTATATTTACTAGAGGACTGAAGTGCGGAATTGCCTTATGCCCAACTGGAGTCATAGGAAGAGGAAACTGCCGCATGGCATACACCCACCATCACAACTCATGAAGGGAATCCTGGGGAAGACATGTGCGACAAGCCAATGGTGTCATGTTGTTATCTAATGGAAACAAAGAGCCAGTGCTAGTTTCTGAAGACAGACCTGCCTGGTTCAATTTTATGTTTTTCTTTGGAAGAAAGAGAAAGTAGACAAAATCCTGAGCCATCTAAAACATAATTATATCTATGACCTGAAACTTAAGAAATGATCTATAAATGTTATGGCAAAAAGGAACATAATAAAAGCATACAATTCCATTGTATATACTCATGAGGCAAAGATATAAATGAAACTGTGTAAGAAGTTGGGGAACACTGGAGGGGCTGCTTCAAAGCTTGCAGATTTACTCTAAGTAGATTGAAGATCTTTTAGAAAAAGAACATGGGACTCTTAATGGAGGTAGGGGGTGGTAAATGTTGGCAGTGCCTGGCCAGCCACTGCATGAGAAGAGGGGAGAGAGAGCCAGCCGGGGCACTTTGAGTCTTCCAGATTCATTGGCAAAGTTTATTTCAAAACTTATGCATAATAGGCCATTTAATATTCTTCTTCAAATACTCTCTTCTAAATTTTTGCTCAGAAAATAACCTCTGGTTATGATTTAACTTTTCATGCAGGTATGTGCATAGAAAGAAAGTGTGCTAGTCAAAAAGCCCCATGCAAACTCCAATCCTCTTTAAGTTATTTTGCATGTAAATTTGTAAATAGGTATATGGATTTTATGGGTTTGGTTAAAGTGAGTCTGAGAGAGGTAGGTTCACTTTTGGAATATAAATAAGACCAAGTTTTTGCGTGTGCAAGTATGGGTTAAGTTTTTTTTTTTTTTGCACGTGGACTACACTTTCTCTGTATATTATCAATTATCAAATTTTCAATCTTTGAAAGCCCCAGAAATATGGCCTGAGCTTGTGTGCTTTTGATTCTTAATCCCAGTTTCTGCTGAGATGTATAAAATGACACCAGAATGCCAATTCCATGACATTATAAGAGCATGTTCCTTTACATGAGGGTCAGGTCAGCAACATCAATGATGGTCATTTTTTGTTGGTGGTGGTGGTGAAGGTGGTGGCAGATTGCACTGGTGGCTAATCAGGACCCAGGAAATGTAAGGGTTCCCTTTATTCATTAGAACTTTTCAAGATGGTATCTATGGATCATAGATATGGGAAGAGTACACCTACTCTTCACTGATTGACTATCTTGTTTTCTAATATTTCACATTTACCACAACAGTAAAAAATCTACTATGTGATTATTTTGCACACGAATGACATATATCTGGTGGTAACAAGCACTGAGGTGGTTGGTGAGAGTAATGCTGGCTATGATGATTAAGGGTATGTGTTAACTTGACTGGGCCATGATTCTCAGTGGTTTGGCAGTTAAGTGGTGGTGTCATTTAGCACTTATGTAATGATGTGGTCATCCTCCATTTTGTGATGTGATATGGCCAGCCTCCATTTTTGCATAACATCGATTTTCACATAACAACCTGATCTTTGAAACCTAACCATGTCGATAAGTGTATTCGAGAAGATCTTTGTAAACAGAAAATGATTCTGCACATGAAAGGGATAATTACTTCCATTGTTAGAGAAGCAACTCAAAATGTACACCTTTTCTGTGCTCAGTCCCCAAAATAATTTCTACTCATAGAAAGATGTAAAGAAAAGTGCTCTTGACCTGGAATCCAAGGATCTGGACATTAGACCTGCTGTCAATTATTACTTCTATGGCAAATCAGTCTCACATCACTAAAATGGGAATGATAATCTTTGCTCCACCCAATTTGTATAATCATTATGATGCTTGAATAATAATAGATATAAAATGCAATTCAAAAAGAAGGCCTCATAAAAGAAGTTCCACAAACAAAGAAATATACCATGGAATGCAGATTAACACAGGTTTTATTAGGAAAGATCAGCTAGGAAGACAATACAATGTGATCATGAAAGGGTGAAAACAAGACAAAAATATAATGCACGTGTTGAAAAAAGATGATAAATACTGATCATTGTAGAGAGCTAAATATATAGTCATAAGAATTTTTTCTTAAAGTATCAGAGGGGCTAAAGATGATGATTACTTTCCTGAGGCTGTAACCCTGAATCTATGTCAAGTTCAGATGGACTTGACCAGCATCTAGTACAATGATCAAGAGGAAATGAAGAATAGTACCAAAGTGAAGTAGGCTGCATGCTCTCAGTAGATTCACAAGCATAGAAATAAGATGGCAATATTCTGTGTCAGTTTGTTGTTTCTCTGAAAAACTTGGAGAGAAATTTATTTACTACATGAACAGGTTCTTTGCAGAATGGTTGAGGGAATATGGTCTTTGGTGGGTGGTAGGTCTGTGACAAGTGGGTCTGTAGGTAGCAAGTAGATCAGCAGCAGGAAGGTTGGCAGCAGCTGGATTCACAGCAGGTGGGCTGGCAGCAGGGTGTGCTGCAAGTGGAAGGCTGGCAACAGCTGGTCTCACAAATTGGTTGGCAGCAGGTGGTGCAGCAGGTGGTCCTGCAGCACATGGGCTGACAGCAGGTGGGCTGGCAGCAGGTGGTCCTGCAGCAGGTAGGCTGGCAGCAGGTGGTCCTGCAGCAGGTAGGCTGGCAGCAGGTGGTCCTGCAGCAGGTGGGCTGGCAGCAGGTGGACTGACAGCAGGTGGGCTGGCAGCAGGTAGTCCTGCAGCAGGTGGGCTGGCAGCAGGTGGTTCTGCAGCAGGTGGGTTGGCAGCAGGTGGGCTGGCAGCAGGTGGTCCTGCAGCAGGTGGGCTGGCAGCAGGTGGTCCTACAGCAGGTAGGCTGGCAGCAGGTGGTCCTACAGCAGGTGGTTCTGCAGCAGGTGGGCTGACAGCAGGTGGTCCTACAGCAGGTGGTCCTGCAGCAGGTGGGCTGGCAGCAGGTGGGCTGACAGCAAGGAGTGCAGCAGGAGTGGGTCATGGTGTCAAGTGTGAAGGGCAGGTTTCTGTTCCAGTTCTGAGAACTCTTCTGCCCTGGGGCTTTTATGCACTGGACCCCCAAGTTGGTACCAATGAGCAGAACTTTTCCTTGTTGTTGTTTATTATGTTGTATTTCATGACCCACAGGAAATAGCCCAAGAAGGAAGTGTTCCCTAAGCATTACAAATCTTCTTAATATAAATGATTGAATTATTCTTCTAATTGATAAATAACCCATAAAAACTTATTTCCAGAAATGGGAGGGGCAGTGACCATCTATACTTTGAATCATCATTTTTTAAAGAGCGTTCATCATTTGATCACCTGACAGTTCAAACTAGTTTGGGGAAGAAGGCAACCAATGGATGCACCTCTGGAGACAGTATACTGTTGATGAAACTGTGGTGATGAGGTTGACCATACTTTAACACAATTTGAATTAAAACCATAGTTTAACAAGGTTTAGACTCTGAGTGGTACAAATGGTTAATATTCTCAGCTGCTAACTAAAAGGTTGGAGCTTCAAGTCCACCCTGAGGGACCTGGGGAGAAAGTTCTGGGGATTTACTTCTGAGAAATCAGCCACTCAGGCTTCGGAGCACAATTCTACACTGACACATGTGGGGTCACCATGAGTCAGAACAGGCTTCATGACAAAGGGTTAGATTGGGTTTGTTTAACAAGGTTTTGATTGGTGCCACACAAAATCCTGATTCAAGGACAGTTCTGTTAGTATTCCCATTAAAACCCCCAGCAATTAGGTTTAGTGAGGTTCAATGACTTGCTCAAGATCACAGACCAAGGTGTTGGTGGTGCTGTATTGAATCAAGTCTGATTCCTAAACTCACCCCTGAATCCCATAAAACTGGAGGTTATGTTATTACTGAGCACTGTAGATCATGAGACTAATAAAGATAGACATGACTTGAAATTGAGCTGTGAAAAATGTAAAGTCAATCAATAAGAAAGGGACAAATGAAAAACCTGAAACTTGAAGAGTAGCTTGGCCAGTTCTTGGGCTGGTGGACTGGCCTCTTCTAGCCCCCCATTTGCACACATGCAAATAATATCAGCTCTGAAAGTTTAGTTCAAATGCCGCCTCCTTCATAGCGTTTTCCCTGATCCCTCTACCTGACTGTGACCACTCTTACCTATTGTAGTAGTTTAGGTTGTGTGTCAAATTGGCTGGGCAGTGGTATTGAGTGTCAGGGCAGCTAGAAGGCGTTACTCCACATGATGAGACTGTAATCACCTCCATGGTGGAACCTCTGTGAGGCATTAATCAGTGGAAAGGGAGCTGCCTTTGGGGTGTGACCTGCTTCCAGTAGATAAGGAGAAGTTTTGAGGACAGTCTCTAGCTTTTTGGCACACCTGGATCCTGCGTTTGGCCAAGTCTTCATCTCAGTGGCCTGCTGTGTTCCCTGCCAATCTTGGGATTGTTCCTGGACTTGAACTAGTGGCCTACTGGGTTGCTTGCTGATCTTGGGACTGTGCCATTTTACCTGCTGACCTCTCCGGTTCATCAGCCTCAGGAGTCAGCAGCTGCCTGAGTTAGGAAACACCTCTAGCTCCAATGGGCCTGGAATAAGAGGCAGAGCTGAAGCCCAAGGTCGAGGGACCTTCACCCAGCCCCTAGAGCTGGCACTCACCCAGTTCCTAGAGCTGGCATTCAGAATTTGGACTTCTAGCCTCCTAAACTGTAAGAGAATACATTCTTGTTTGTTAAGCCATCGACTTGTAGGATGTCTGTTATAGCAGCACTAGAGAACTAGATATCTATTAATCCTCTACCTTTTATTTCAATTTTTCTTATGGTCCATTGCATTTCAACTTTGGAATAAATTTATTTATGTGTCATTCTATGTCTTCTAGACAGTAGATTCCTGTTACATGTCAAATTATGTAAGTGCTTTACCTCTATTATTATTTCTAATTTTCTCAATTATTCTTTAAGGTTGTCATTATTTTCATTTTATAAATGGGAAAACAAAGTACAGAGCAATAAAAAACATGTCTAATGCCATGGGTGGTGAAATTGGGTTAAGTACAGGTCTTTCTGATTACAGCATCCTTGTTCCTTCTATTTCCCCAAAACACAATGTATTTGGTTAATACTAATTAAATATCTGTTTAATAAATGAGTTCTTTACTCCAGACACAATCTGGCCTGAAATGACAATAATTGACTCTTATTCATATAAACCAAAACCCAACTCACTGCCATTGAGTCAGATCCGACTCATAGTGACCCCTCCTTAGTTTTCTGAGGTGGTATCACTATAAAAGTAGATTGCCCAACCTTCCTTCTGAGGAGTGGGTGGTGGGTTTGAGCCACCAGCCCTCTGGTTGGCAGTCATATGCCTTAGGCACTATGCCATCAGAGGTCTTTGAAAAGAATTCTTCATTTCATGGACAGATGGAGTAATGACACACAAGAAAGAGTGACTACATTAAGGAATGATGACAGGTCATCACAAGATAAACCTGTAGTAAAGGCGTGGGCACACACCAAAGTGTCTTGCCTAAAATAACATGAAACACAGGAGAGGATTTCAGGAAAAAAAAATGACAACTTGGATAATGCCATCCAGAAGGAAATTATTTCTTCCATCAAAATGCAGGGCACTCAATATAATTGCCTAAATTTGACACATGCTTTTCAAATCTGATAAACAACAGCTAGGAAAGAATGTACAATTCAACCAAATATTCAAATATTCTTTTATCTGTAGCTGCCTATGAAGTGACAATTTCAGCCTTATGAAAACTGTGCTCTGATGGGAGTTATTTTCTGTCAATGCAAAGGAGAGGTAATGGGCAGAATATGACTTGTCACAGAAGAGAAGAGTAGCTAAAGAATGAGAAATAATCAAGGACCAGGGATATCACCAATACCTCTTTCCCACACACCCCAACTGTTGTGCAAGGGCACAACTAATCTGATTTTTCAGATAGAAAATGTAGATAGAAACATATTAAGGATGTAATATATGTCCTTCATATATTTGTAATATTATACAAGAAAAAAAATTGTAATTATTTGAAATTGAAGATAAGCACTGTCAAAGAAGGAGCATATGGTAACAGCAGTCCCTCAGCAGGGTATACAAGTGGACTTGGGGCACGGAGACTTTCCTTTTTTTTTTTTTTCTTTGTTTCCTATGCTTTTCATTTTTTAATTTTATTGTGATTTGGGTGAAAGTTTACAGAGCAAATTCATTTTCCATCCAGCAGTTCACATACACTTTGTCTCATGACATTGACTGTAATCTCCCACAATGCAACAGTGCTGCTCCCACTTCCTCCCCATAGCCACCTCTTCCCTATGTTCTTCCGACCCATGCATTCCTGTCCCCCGAGCTGTCTCCCTGTGCATACACAGCCATTCTAGTCTCCCATGATTGATCTCTCCAAGGAGTGTATCTACCTAATGCAAATGTTCAGCTCATATGCCTGTCTTTTGCTTGGCTGGAAGCCATGGGAGTGGGTTCAATTCCAGATCTGAAGGGCAGGTAGGGGCTATAGTCTCAGGGGTTCCACCAGGCTCTATCAGACCAGCGAATCTGGCCCCCTCACCTTTTTTGTTTTTTAATGATTTTGTGTTTTGTTCCACATTGTTCTCCCACTCCATCCAGCATCTCCTACATAGATACTCCTGGCAAGGAGACTTTAAAAACAAACAAATAACCTCTGAGAATCCAACCCAGAGCATCCACTTACTGACAGTATGACCAACTCCTATTGTGGTTCTATCATCTCTGACCAAGGTTCTGGCCAAGGTCTCTGACAAGAGACCTGTTGTGTCCCCAGCTTTTGCCAGAGCACCTGCTGCAGAATGAGTGATCTTCTGCCATCCCTCCTACTACACTTTGAGTTGCTGCTGCCTGGTCTGCTGCTAGACCACCTGTTGCCACAACACTTGCTTCTCTCCCAAAAGCTGTGGACTTTTCTGCTAAACTTTATCCTTGATTATGAACCAAGCTCCAGTCAACATAATACCAATTATGATTTTAAGCAGTGGATCTTGGACTTTCTTCCCTGGTCTTGAACTAAACTGCTATGGTATTTACTCATGACCTTTATCATATAACCTAGCAACTCTTAATAAAGCATAAATCCATAGACTAACAATTGAATAAATCATCTCTGAGCTCTCTTCTCTGACCTGTAACAGGACCAAACATCTCTAAACAAAATGACCATAGAATTGTGACTCAATTAGATCAAAATTCTAAGCCAATCATTCTTGTACTTGACCTTGATAGTGACTTCTTTGTGATATCTCCAAAAATATTAACTTTCTTATTTTTGTAAGCACTTGGCTTACACTTAAACTAAATGTAAGAAACTGTTATAAACACATGGGAAAATGATAAACAGACAATCATAGCAGAGACCCTAACATGCTATTAAAAAAATGGTCATTTGAAGAAGAAAAATAAAAAGGGATAGAAGAGAATTTTAGTAAGACTAGATGTAATGGATATTTATATGCAATTTTATGCCTAACAAATTAAGATTTCTCATTGCTTTCATATACATTCAGAATAGTCACAAAATATACCAGGCTACAAAGAAAATCTCAACCAATTCCAAACAACAGAAATAATATAAGCCTTTTTATCTGACCATGATACAATGCAATGAAACATCAATAACAGAAAAATAGCAAAATCAAAAATGCTCCTTAACCTGCTTTCTTTCACTCCTTCTAGAATAATTCCCTCTAAAAGGAAATGGGGCAGCTGTGTGGGGTAGGGATGACTTATTCTCTCTTAGAAATGTACTGCATTTCTTTTTTATTGAAACAATTTTACTTATAGAAAAGTGGCAAGAATATTTCAAAAAGCTTAAAAGCTTTTTTCTTCATGAAGAAATGATGTCCCATTACCCTTAAGCACTTAATATATATTTCCTTTCTCAGAGGCATTCTGTTACGTAACCATAAAACCATAATCAAAATCAGACTTTTGTTATTACAAACAATTATGAGCAAAGAACACCCTTGAACTTATGTCTTAGAACACATGTATATATGTTGTTGTTATTTGCCGTCGAGTCGGCCCCGACTTATAGCGACCCCTCCTTGGGTTTCCGAGGCAGTATTACTACGGAAGTAGGATTGCCCAACCTTCCTTCTGAGGAGTGGCTGGTGGGTTTGAACCGCCAGCCTTCTGGTTAGCAGTCAAGTGCCTTAGGCACTATGCTACCAGAGCTCCTTGTATATATGTATCTGTTGAATAAGTTTCCAGTAGTAAAATTACTCAGTCAAAGGGCATATGCATTTAAAGTCTGACAGATAATGCCAATTTGTCATCTAAATAAGTTATACCAATTTAGACCTCTACCATCTGTGTATGAGAATGTCTATTTCCACATAAGCTCATTAATTTATTAAAGTTTTATAAATGAAATATTTTATATTTGTCATTCCAAAGGTTAACAATAACAGTTATTCACTGCTGTGTTCCCAGGACCTGGCACATAGTAGGTGTTCAACAGATGGATTGATGAATAAATAAATTATTCAATTAAATAATTTTTAAATTGTAAGATTGAACATCTTTAATAAGCTTAAAAGGCATTTATATTTATTTTTCACTGAACCATTAATGTCCTTTACTAAATTTTTGATTTGTTCAACTTTTTTTTTTCCTTATTGGGTTGTAAGAGAGATTTACACATTAATGAAATCAGATTCTTTTCTGGTATGTTGATGAATGTATTTATTCCCAGTTGCCCTTTCAACTTTTGATTTTAAAGTTTTTGTTTGTTTGTTTGTTTTGTTTTTAAACCAAGCATTAAATTTTTTCTGGTGTCAAATTTTTCAATCTTTTTTTTAATTGCTATTATATTTTCTGTGTTTTAGAAAAGCTATCTTCAAATATTTTAAGAAAAACATTTTCAAATTTTCTTCTAGTATTTTCAGTTTGTTGTTCTCAAAAGGGTCTCTAGAAAAAAAAAAAAAACATTGTTAATTGAGGAATGGTGTGAGACACAAAGTTTCAAGGGTGGCACATAGAATGCTGAGTTTCAAATGACCTATCACATCACAACCAATCCAACGAGGAAGCTGAAGATTCTTTGAAGTTAGATGATACACTGAAGAAAGAAATCAAAGAGATGATTGAGTAGGACAGAGGAGATTAGATAAACCCTAACACAGAGAACCCATCAGCCACTCCTTGGAAGGAAGATGGGGCAATCTATTTGCATAGTGATACTGCCTCAGAAACCCAAGGAGGGGTTGCTATGAGTCAGATCCGACTTGACAGCACATAACAACAACAACAACAACAACAACAACAACAACAACACAGAGGAAGGGAAAATGCATTCCATCTAACTTTTATATACATTTTCCCATAATTAACTAATTTAATAATCGTCTAATGTGGTATAGTGCCTAAGGCATGTGACTGCTAACCAGAAGGCTGGCAGTTCAAACCCACCAGCCTCTCCTTGGAAGGAAGGTTGGGCAATCTACTTCCATAGTGACACCACCTCGGAAACCCTAGGAGGGCTTTCTATGAGTCGTATCCAACTCGACGGCAGTGAGAGAATATAAATAATAACAAGGAAATAGCCATTAACATGGTGACAGAGGCTCCTTAGCAGGGTATAAAAGGTGAACTAGGGCAAGGAGACTCCCAAATTTGAAAAATCACTCTTTTGTAAACACACCTAGAACCTCCACCCTCTGACACCATGGTCAACTCCTGTTGTGCTTCTATCTGCTCTGACCAGGGCTGTGGTCAAGGCCAGGAGACCTGCTGCTGCCCCAGCAGCTGTGTGTCCAGCTGCTGCCGTCCAGTCTGCTGCCAGACCACCTGCTGCCAGGCCACCTGCCGCCCGGTCTGCTGCCAGACCACCTGCGGCCCCAGCTGCTGCCACCCGGTCTGCTGCCAGACCACCTGCGGCCCCAGCTGCTGCCGCCCGGTCTGCTGCCAGACCACCTGCTGCCATACAACTTGCTATCGCCCCAGCTGCTGTGGATCCTCTTGTTGAACCTCATATCTGACAATCAACCGTGAACTGGCCATTTTATCAACATAAAAGTGTCATTCATGTAAACTTTTCCCTGTCTTAAATGGCCAGCACATTTATTATCATGTTATACCAGTGAACAACTGGTGAAAGGCCACCAGTCTACACTGAATACCACTCATCTCTCCCATGGACCTCTTCTTTGCATTCAGTCCTCAGATACTTGATGCAGTGGACAAAGCCCCTGAGTCCATATGTTTGTCTTGACTTTCACAATTCTATGTTCACTTTCTCTTTCTCAATAAATTTTACCTTGGTATCAGAAATTCTTGTTTAGTTTAATTATACTTGAGAGTTGATTGTCAGTACTTTTCCCCCCTACCATTATTTCTTTCAAGATGAAGAGAAGATCAGGTTTCTGTGGCCAGGAAAGAAAACTGATTTTGCAAACATGCCATTCAGCTACTAACCAAAAGTTCAGTGGTTCAAACCCACCAGCCACTATGTGGGAGAAAGATGAGGCATTCTGCTTCTGTAAAGATTTACAACCTTGGAAACCCTATGGGGCAGTTGGACTGTGTCCTATAGGATTGCTATTAGTTGCATTGACTCAGTGGCAGTGGGTTAGGTTTGGTTTTGGTATATTGTAGACAGGATCTTCTTTATATGTTTTTCAGAATAAGATAATTCACCTTACTTGTCTTATTCAGTCAACAAAATTATCGATCACTTATCATGTTCATTGCACTGTTGGCTTTTGGGGAATCTACCAAGATACGTGAGCCACAGTTCCTTCCTACAAGGTTCTCACAATCTAATCTTGGAAAAAAGAGTAAGGTCACGGCAAGTAGGGTATTTTGGGTACTATTGATCATATGGGGGAAATTTCTGTTTTGGAGAAAGTTAACATAGGAGGCATATTTTCTAGAAACAGAATGAATTAAGGCAATAAATTCAGGGAAAATGTACATATCCATGAGATAAAGAAGTAGAGAAAACAAGGAAGTATTTGCATTCTTGTGATGCCAAGAATAGATGAGTCAAAAAAAAAAAAAGAAAAAAAAATAGTTGCAGTTGATGTGACAGAGACTAAATCTCACTGGCTTAATCCAGCCCCCTTTACTTTAATGATGTTAGTTGCTGTCAAGTCAGCTCCAACTCATGGTGACTGTATGTACAGCAGAACGAAATATTGCCTGGTTCCACACCATCTCCACAATCCTTGTTGCAGCCACCATATATGTTGAGTGTCTTCCACATGGGGGCACATCTTCTAGCACTGTATCTGACAATATTCCTTTGTAATCCGTAGGGTTTTCATTGACTAATTTTTGGAAGTGGATGAAGCCTTTCTTCCTAGTCTATCTTAGTCTGGAAACTCTGCTGGAACCTGTCCTCCATTGGTGGTATTTGAAATACCAGCAGCATTGATTCTAGCATACATGTAAGCCACTACAGTGCCACAAACAGACAGGTGGTGGCATTTTAATGACACTATACTGAAAAATACCATACACAAATGAGGAGAATATTAGTCAGAGGTGAAGTCACATGTGGATAAGTAAACACCACCTTTGGGGAAGGTTCTGGGAGGAGGAAGAGAGTTTGAATGGTAGGAAAGGATGAGTTTGGAAGAGGGAAACATTTAGGTTGTGCTTGAAAGCTGTGCACTAAGACTGCACTCTTGGGATATTTTTAGATCTTGCAGATCTCCTGTATCTCAGGCAGACTTGATCACATTCAGGCAAGTAAACCAAATGTCTCCTGCAGTCACATTGCTTCACTTGTTTTGTCTGATGCCATTTCCACATGACAAGGAGATATGTGAATAGAAGCAAAATACATGAGCTAACAGAAGAAGGCAATGATCATAGGAGAGGGACCCAGAAAACACTAAACCAAATGCAAATCCACTGCCATCAAATCAATTCCAACTCACAGTGACTCTGTAGGACACAGTAGAACTGTCCCATATGGATTCCAAGGGTGTAAATCTAGCACTTTAACCACTGTGCCAACAGGGCTCCTAAGAAAACACTATAGACATTCTAAAATGGAGAGATTTCAACAATGATCATTATTATGAAAAACATAATATATGGTGGATTGGAGTGCAATAGGCAGTGATCCAGGAATATCATACAGAAGCACAGATGCAGTGGGAAATCACGGAGGATGATTGGTCAGCCATGCAGCTTATGAGATGGAAGCATGAAGTTAAAGCTAGAAATACTAACAGATTTCTAATTTTGATGGCCTTGATAGTCATAATTATGAGTTTATACTTAAATACTAATAACTATTCAAATGTGTCTGTGATGGAAGCAAGAACGGCCAGACTTCGTCTCACCTACTTTGGTCATGTTGTAAAAAGGGAGCATTCCCTGGAGAAGGATATCATGCTTGGTAAAGTGGAGGGTCAATGAAAGAGGGGAAGGTCCTCAATGAAATGGATTGACACGGTGACTACAACGATAGGCTCAGGTATAGCAGGGATCGTGGAGCTGGCACAGGACTGGGGGGTGTTTCATTCTGCTGTACATGGGGTCATTATGCATAGAAGATGACTTGATGGCACCTAACAACAACAATAACTCTAAAGAAAATCTCATCCTTAAACTCAATCTCTTATTAGTCTCTTGTCCTAACAGTAATTACTGTCTCATGAAAGTTCTCATTGCAACATTCCTCTCTAGTTAACACACACACACACACACACACCACTCACACACATGTTTCAAATTGCAAGGATTGAGAAATCTGTTAAAGCCATCTCAGGACAACTGTGATTTTGTTCCTTTATTTCCAACAGTTTGCAGTCCATAAAAATAGTCCCATTTGTTCTTCTTTAACTTTCTATTTTCATTTTATTACTCCTTATACCAATCAAGGTGTAGAATACGTCCAGTACCACAAGAATTCCTTACGTTGCCCTTTTATAGCCACACTCTACCTCCTCCTTAACTCTGCCAACCACTGATCTGTTTCCATTTCTATAATTTTGTCATTTCAAGAACGTTATATAAACAGAATCATACAGTAGGTAATGTTTTCAGATTGTCTTACTCACACTCAGCTAACTTCTCTGTAGGTTCATCCAGATGGTTTTGTGTGTCAATAGTTTATTCCTTTCTATTGCTGAGTGGTGGCCCATGGTGTGGATGGACCTTTGTTTTTTTTTAACCATTCACCCACTGAAGGTTTCCAACACTGTAATCTTTATGGAAGCAGACTGCCTCATCTTTCTCTCATGAAGCAGCTGGTGAGTTTGAACCTCCAACCTTTAGGTCAGTAGCCAAGCACTTAACCACTGCACCTTTGGCTTAGAGGAGAAAAATGCAAATCTTACACAGGAAGAGAATGACTCCAAAGAATTAGTCTTGAATTAAGATACTGATATGCCTAAACTATTCATTTGCTCATGAGGAAGGGGATCACATCCATGCTGGATGCAAGAACAAAGGACAGAGTTGGAAAGCAGAAAGATGAGTATGTTGTTTGAAGAGATACACTACAAAGGAGCTACTCTGAAGCTGTGGCTTCTAAATCCAGCTTTTCATCCAACACAGTCATTTAAAATCTTTTGCTTTTAAATAAATAAGAATTTCATAGATATAAACCAAAAAAACCTCAAACTCACTGCCATCAAGTTGATTTGACTCACAACAACCTCTGATCTGTCTCCATTTCTATAATTTTGTCATTTCAGCAACCTCCATTGGGTTTCCAAGGTAGTAAATCTTTATGGAAGTAGATTGCCTCATTTTCCTTTCAGAAAAGCTGGTGGGTTTGAATCATCTACCTCTGGTTAACAGTCAAATGCCTTAGCTACTATGCCACCAGAACTTCTTATGCATAGATACAGATATTCTAAAAAATACGAATAATGCACTGTTTTTTGTACACTTTGTCAGGTATTTTATGTTTTAGTTTCATGGCTGGAGAACTTCAAGCAATTTTACAGAAAGGATATGTTGTTGCTGTAAGATGCCGTTGGCTCTGACTCATAGCGATTACATGTACAACAGAACAAAACACTGCCTGGGCCTGCGCCAGCACAAGCCTTGCTAAACCTGAACCTATTGTTGCAGCCACTGTGTCAATCCATTTCATTGAGGGCCTTCCCCTTTTTCGCTGACCCTCCACTATGGCAAGCATGATGTCCTTCTCCAGAGAATGGTCTCTTTTGACAACATGACCAAAGTGGGTGAGATGAAGTCTGGCCATTCTTGCCTCCAAGGAGCATTCCAACTACACTTCTTCCAGGACAGATTTCTTAGTTATTCTGGCAGTACATGGTACGTTCAGCATTCTTCGCTAACACCACAACTCAAAAGCATCAGCTCTTTGGTCTTTTCCTTATTCATTGTCCAGCTTTCATATGCATATGAGGCGACTGAAAATACCATGGCTTGGGTTAGGCGACCTCAATCTTCAAAGAGCTATCTTCACTCTTCAGCACTTGAAAGAGGTCTTTTGCAACAGATTTTCCCAGAGCAATATGTCATCTGATTTCTTGACAGCTGCTTCCATTGGTGTTAATTGTGGAACCAAGTACTTTCTGGATCCTTGCATGCCCTGGAATACTTTTCATCAACCCTTTCATATCAATAATTCTCTGCTTATTCACATGAATAATTGGCTAGTTATCTACCAAACATTCCTTCCTCCCTTGTATTGTGTAGAACTACCTCTTGGAAGTAGCCCCCAGTCAGGGACTACATTTCCCAACACCTCTTGCATCTGCTTCACTGTGTTCCAGCCAATGATATGTTTTCCTTTCCAGACCTGGTCCAAAAAATCTCCCATATAACACTCTATGTTATAGTTTTATTTTATGTCTCTAGATTGTTAATTCAGTTTAGATAAATTATAATTTCACTTCTTCTGTTTTAAAATATGGAACTTTGGAATATATTTTGGATTTCTAAAATTCTTTTTTATTTTCCTTCCAAATATTCCTTGCATTCATGTCTTGAACTTTCCAAAGAATTCTCATGAAAAACAAAAAATTTTAAATCACTTCTATTTTTTTTCCATTGGACCTGCTTGGTAGGAGACACTTTTTTTTTTTTTTTTTTTAAGTAGCTTCTTGCTGTTCAGCTTACTCTTTTTCCCATTAGTGAGCCTAAGCCATTCCTTGCCTTTCATGTCAGGACAGAGTTACTGAGCTTCACACTGACCAGGATGCTGGTCTCTCTGGAAGTGGTACAAAGCAGAGAAAGAAAAAGAAATGGGACTTTTGTGAAGAAAATAGGCTTGGTTTTAGTATGCTCACAGGCTTGGCTGAGTATGTTCAGTTAAAGTTATTCAACTGGATGGAAGAGAAGCAGCTGTATTCATTAGTACACCTCCCTTAAGGGCACTGAGAATCAGTGAAATCTCCAAGCAGGCAGCAAGCAGACAGAGGCATGCCTCCCTGTGTGCTGGGTGTCCATGTGGCTCAAGTCAGTAGCCACTCCCATCCAGCTGCAAGGTCAATTATTTGACATATAAACTCCACCAGAAACTGTGATTTCCTCCTCCCTGTGGTTGTCTCACTAAGTCTTTGGTCTCTCCCACCTCATTGTAAAAATAAGTGGCTCATTATGTCACATTTGACAGAGCCCAACTCCTGTTTCATCTTTGTGAGAAGACAGTCTCTAGCATTTGCCTTTAGGCCATGTTCTTATTCATTAAATTGAATCAGTAAGGAGTTGGAACAGAGTCAAGCCGGTGGACTCTCCCTGCCACCTTCCCAGAATTTCCTGGGCAACTTATTAAAACTAGAGATTTCTTGGTTAGCAGTCAAATGCCTTAGGCACTATACCACAAGAAGTTATTTCAGGAAAAATAAAAAAAGAGATGATAATGTCACATGCAATCTTGGTTCCTAAATAGAGTGATCCTATCGATAAGAATAGGTTGGTGACATGAGGAAATATGCCAAAATGCATTGCTTGTGATGCCTTCCCCTAACTCACTAAGTACCAGCCTACACCTACAGCTATCCCCTTTCTCAGGAGTCGGCCTCTCCCTTTTCCACCCAAGCCCCCATTCCAACATTCTGAAATGGGAATAAGTTCATTCCCATTGATTTTCCCAAGCTGCAGCACCAACTGTTGTGTGTTGATTAATGACTGAAAAGGAAACACATGGATATCTGACAACAAACTGCCAGTGACATGCCAGCCAATTGGATAACAGAGCTGACTTTGAAAATTAGATGATACACACAAGGAAAAAAACAGAAGGCTTTATTTGGAAGGAAAGATTAGACTCAATACACATCACAGACAAGAAAGATGCATCCTATCTCACTTCTGCAAGAAAAATACTTACAATTATCTAATTTGATAATTGCTTCTGTAATAGTATAAACAATAACAAGGAAGAGGTTTCCTCAATGGAGTATAAAAGGGGACATAGGGTAGGAAGACTCCCAAACTCCAGAACCTCAATCTCCTGGAAACACACCCAGAACCTCCACCCTCTGACACCATGGTCAACTCCTGTTGTGGCTCTGTCTGCTCTGACCAGGGCTGTGGTCAAGGCCTCTCCCAGGAGACCTGCTGCCAACCCAGCTGCTGTCAGACCACCTGCTGCAGGACCACCTGCTGCAGGACCACTTGCTGCAGACCCAGCTGCTCTGTGTCCAGCTGCTGCCGTCCCAGCTGCTGCCGCCCTAGCTGTGTGACCAGCTGCTGCCGTCCTAGCTGCTGTGTGTCCAGCTGCTGCAGACCCATTTGCTGCCGTCCCAGCTGTGTGTCCACCTGCTACCGTCCCAGCTGCTGCCGCCCCAGCTGTGTGTCCACCTGCTGCCGTCCCAGCTGCTGCCGCCCTAGCTGCGTGTCCACCTGCTGCCGTCCTAGCTGCTGTGTGTCCAGCTGCTGCAGACCCAGCTGCTGCAGACCCATTTGCTGCCGTCCCAGCTGCTGCCGCCCCAGCTGTGTGTCCACCTGCTGCCGTCCCAGCTGCTGTCGTCCAATCTGCTGCCAGACTACCTGCTGCCGTACCACCTGCTGTCGCCCAAGCTGCTGTGGATCTTCTTGCTGTTGAACTTCATTCGTGATCACCAGCCCTGAGTCACCCATCATGATGCCAATATAGCAGTCTTATTCATATTTCCTTTCTTCACAGCACCTGGCCTTGTTCTAAACTGTCACTATGTTGACATGTGCATGACCAACATATGACATGTGCTGGTCATGCTATCAAGCAACTATTTAAAAAGCAACAATTTAAACTAAATACCACACAAAACTCCAAGTTCTCTGTCTATTGCCCTGATATTCATCCAGGTGCCAAATGTTTACACTTCTCAATTGGAAGAGGTTCCTAGTCTATGACCGCTGTGCATGGCTTGACCTTCGCAATGAATTATGTCTAATTGAGTAACTACGTCTCAATAAATATTTGCTGTCTTGGTATCAGAAACATTTGTGGTCCTTTGTTACTTTTTAGTGTTGATTACTTATTTGGAGTTAAGTTTGAATTTCTGTCACATGAACAAAGAAAACTGATTCTGCAAATATAAACCAAAGCCAAAGAATTATTTTTTTCCCCAAACCAGATTGCCCACTTGACTTGCTGTCAAGTCTATTGAGAGAAAACAAGAACTTCTTTGGTATTCTAGTGAGTTATGGATCACCTGGCAGGGTCTTTGCACCCTTAGGTAACTCACAATGAGATCTTGGATTTAAAAGGAAGGCCTATGCCATGTAGAATATGTTGGTAAGAAAGAGAAGAGTATAGGATAAGAGTAATATGTAAGGATTGATTCAGAGAAATAAAATGTGTCAAGTCTGAAAATTCAGGGGAATAAGTATAACTCACAAACACACAAGACAAAGTGAAGGAGAGGATCAGATGACAGAAGAGTGCTTATATTATGAAGGTAATTATTACTATTATTAGAAAAGGTACCAAGAAATATTATGGTCATTTTAAGGAGGAGGGCATGTCAGGATAAATTCATGGAATGAGACTAAATATGATGGAAGCTATGAGAAGACAGGAGCCAGGGATCTCAGTGTGACATTGCAGATGCAGTGGGAAACCAGTGAGTATGATGGATGGTACATGTCAGTTATGGGAAGGAAGGTAATGGAAGTTAAGTAGACGTTGGTTGGGTCCTGTTTTTGAGGGGCTGGATCAACATTGTTGTGGGGAAAGGTCTGCCTAAAAGGCTCCCATCCAGGTTACCTAAGTAAAAGCTCTGTGCCAGAATATTTGCTAAGGAGGCTGGGAATTGGATCACCTTCTCTCTCCCTGTTCCTTCTGGGCACACAGGAACTTTCTCTATCTCTTGCACATGCATGGGTACCAATGAACCTGGCCAAGCCCACTGCTATATCTGTTCCCAGTGGGGGGGGGAATGGGGTCTCTTGTACTATGGCACAAGAAGGGGTGAATGAAGACCATCTGCCCTGCACTGGCCATATGTGGGATGAGCCTGTTGGCCATAGTAGACTGGTACCCATGAATGAAACTGATCTCTCTCTGTCTCTTCTGTACGTGAGTAAAGCATTTTGCATGTGCTGTTAGTGTGTGTGTGTGTGTGTGTGTGTGTGTGTGTGTGTGGTCTTTTGCTGATGACTGTAAACCCTGCCATGACAGACACATTAATGACATTCATCCATCTATGCTCTATTAAACTCCAATTGAGAGTTTGTATGCACTTCTAACTATGACACATGCAAAGAATATTTTTTAGTCCACTTAATAATGACCTGGCATGAAGTCACTCAGCTGCTTATGTCTCCTCTATAAGCCTGCAATTCCTTTTTCCATTGTGAGTTCCATGTAAGTTGGATTTCCTGTGTCCTTTCAAGAGTTTCTCTTCTCTATCCAAGTGAGGTCAGTAGGTTCAAGGTCTGAACGTTTTAGGATTAGGCAAAAACTTTTAGTTGGAAAAGACAATAAAAATGGAAACAAAGACAGCACAAAACTGAGGCAACCTATTTGTAAATTAGTAATGTGATAAAAGAATCGTATCACTGGATTTAAGTTTCACTCCTACGTTTATTCCAAGACAGTAACTGCCCTACAAAGGACACTTCTCAGCACAGTATTCTTCAAGTGCCCAGGCCTGAAAAATGTGTCAGAGCCTCAAGCTATTATGCCTGATGTTTTCTCTGTATTTCAAAAACTGTGTTTGTTTTCTTATGGTATACTATATAAAGGAGCTCTGGTGGCCTAAGGCATTTGCTGCTAACCAGAAGGCTGGTGGTTCAAACCCACCAGCCACTCCTTGGAGGAAGAGTGGGCAATCTACTTTTATAGAGATACCATGTCAGAACCTGAAGGAGGGGTCGCTATGGGTCAGAACTGACTTGATGGCAGTGAGTTTGGTTTTTTTGCACACTATATATGCTGTACTATGTGGCACATAAACATTCATGAATATTTTAATTTTATATTTTCCCTTTATCACAATAAAATACGTTACACTATTTTTGTTTTTGACCTTAGCTTACCACTTTTGGACTTCTGTTGTTATGTTTAAGCCATCTTTGCTGAGTTTTATCCTTTACTAATTCTAGCATATATTTGAATCTTTAAATTTTACTGGTTTCTTCTCTTGATACCATTTTTTGTACAGCATATCTACATTGTAGTGGAATTCTTAATTTTGACTAATTTCTCAGTTAGCTGGAGTACTTCTTAAAATAATTTAAAATGAAGCAATAAGTCATAGTTCTTGTAAATCTTTCCATTGTCCCCACATATTACCAATATCTTGTCTGGATTTAGAATTATTGTAGTGCCTATGGCATTTGACTGCTCACCAGAAGGTTGGCAGTTCAAATCCACCAGACACTCTGCAGAAAAAAGACCGGGCAATCTACTTCCATAAAGATTTACTGCATTGGAAACCCAATGGGGGTTGCTATGAGTCAGAATCAACTTGATGGCAGTGAGGTTTCTTTCTTTTTTTTTTTTTTTTTAGTTTAACTTTTCCACCTAAAAGGAAGGCCTATGCCAGGTAGAATATGTTGGTAAGAAAGAGAAGAGTATAGGATAAGAGTAATATGTAAGGATTGATTCAGAGAAATAAAA